ACCGCGCCGCCACGGCCAGGTCGTGGTTGAGCCGCCGCACGTGGGCCACGTAGTCGCCGTCGGCCACACGGCCGCGGATCTCGTTGGGCACGTACTCGGGGAAGCGGCCCGCGCCGAAGCACGACGGGTCCATCTTGACCCGCACCTGGCCGGGTCCGCCGTGGTTCAGGTGGTGGTGGTGGTGGACCACCTGAATCTGATTTTCGTAGGGTGCGCCGCCGGCGGAGAATGTCTGCACGGGGGCATGCGGCGGAGGGGCGTAGGGGTGATGGTGCTGGTGGTGGTGCTGGTGGCCGGTGAAGTGGTCATGGTGGTGCTGGTGGTGGCCTCCGTGGTGGTGCATGGTCGTGGGCAAAAAGAAAGAATGGAGTTTTGGTTGGCGACTATGGTTTTATAGGGGGGTTGTGGCAGTACCCGCCACTCCGGTAACTACCACCGTGGGCTTCTTTTTGTACCGCTGCCTGGACCTTCTTTGGTAGAAGGCCACGGTGGTATGGCGGGGAACAAGCAAGCAGGACAACGTTACAAACGAAAAGCTGCAGTTTTCACAGTTCTTCGCCTTCGTCCTCCGCCTTGGCCTCGGCCGCGCCTCCAAGACCAGGCCCGCCTCCACATCAACCACAGGGTTGCGGCTGTGTGTGGCGGGGGGGCTGACGCTGTCCCATCGGCGGTCGTTCGCGGCCACCTTGAACCGCCGCTCGATGCAGAAGGCCAGACCGGCGTCCTGGCCAGTGTGGCGTTCAGCTCGCGCTAGTGCCGCTTCCACACCGCCTTCGTGTGGCTGGCCTCGGTCTGGGCGGGCGAGGCCGTGAGGGAGACCAACACCGAGTCCGCGTTCTCAGCCACCAACTCCTCCCGGCGGGCTGCTGATCTTCCGCTCCCACTTCTGCTTACTGCCCTCCGTCGGCTCTTCGCTCGTTCTCCTTCTTTCTTTCTTCTCACGCCAGAACCACGTGACATAAGCCAGTCTCCAACCTATCACAAAAGCCCCGAGCCATGCAACCGAACAAAAAACAAGTTGCAGAGAGAAGAAGGTACGATGGTACCATCTCCCCGGTGATGATGTTCACCTCACCTTGTGCTAACCAAAAACAATTTTTGCAATAATTGAAATGGTTCTGCAAGCGTTGTTGGTAAGAAAGAAGAAAAAGAAGAAAGAAATGCACATGTTGTGCATGTTGTATCACTTCTTCTTGGTCTTGCCGCCCCGTTGGCGCGTCTCTTCGGTGGCTTGCTCCATCTGCTCGCGCATGATCGAGTAGGCCTCGTTTCGCTTGAGCAGCGAATGGAACGCGTACTGAAGTGTCAACACGGCACACGATGAGAGAAAGCTCAAGACCCACGCAGCACTCGCACACGCACACGCCGCACACGCACACACACACACACACACACACACAACTGATCTGTACTGGTCTGGGGTACCTTCGCCCCGGCGCGCGTGGCGACCGACAGAGCGTTGGGCAGCAGGATGGCGGTACGCTTCTTGGTCACCGACTTCACCTCCGCCGCCGGCACGTTCACCTGCCATCCACGGATTGTCACAACCAACCGCGTAAGTCGCCTTGCCCCCAGAAAGAAGGGCGCGGAGCTACAAGAAAGAATGAAAGAAAGAAAGAAGCGGAGTACGAGCGAAGAGCCGACGGAGGGCAGGAAGCAGAAGTGGGAGCGGAAGATCAGCAGCCGGCCGGGACCCGACGACGCCTTGCTCTTCAGCACGCACCCATACTCTACACAAAGACACAGTCACACGACACACGCACGACACACGCACGACACACGCACGACACAGCTTGAGTCATTCAAGCGAGTGGGTGTGGAGAGCTGGAGAAGGGAGTGCGTACGTTGCATGAGGGTCTCGTCGTCGGGCAAGTTAAAGAGGGAGAGGAGCTCCTCCTCCTTCTCCGATTGGTGCTTTGAATTGGTGATCGTTTTTGTCCTGCAAATCAAAAAACATAAATGAACGTGTGTGTGCGT